TAAAATTATGCAAAATGCAAAACGCTTAGCTGTATCTCTAATGAAACCGCTGTAACGTCAGAGGTAACGTTCATATGTTGATTAATGGTTTTCTTTTGTTTTTGATGTACTGCAGAATATTTTTATAAAAGCCCAGGCCAGGAAAACCACCTTCATGTTTTTTTGTGTTTTGTCTTTAGCTACTTTGACACAAAGGCATCTGCTGTGATGCTCACACCTTTGATAAAGTCTTGCGTGTGTCAGCTTCCTTTGTATAGATACAAAAATATGTAAATGTACTGATCTGAATTATAATATTTCTGACTGTCAAAATTTCCCGTATTCAAATCGAATTGAATCAAATCGAATCGAATTGAATCGAATCGTGGATCAAATCGATTCGGGACCTTGTGAATCGGAATTGAATCGATTCTAGAAATCAGTGACGATACCCAGCCCTACTTTATATCGTGGAAACATAGAAAGGAGTTGCCCGAGTAAGATGTCCCACTTACACACTCAGCTGAACTGCTTCAGTCTGTTTCCGAATCAGAGTCACTCTGCCCACTGAGGCCTCCAGCTCAGTTAGCAAGATGCCAGGCTGATACATCTGACAGAAGTGCTGGGCCTGGAAAAAAGCAGATGCCACAAATTAAAAACCAAGATTACAGTGGCATCAGAATGGTCCTCTATCCAAATCCGAAACATATACTTCAAACTGCTTTTATTTACCATAAAACTGTTCACTCAAATACCTTCTCTCTGGAGATGTTCAGTTTGCTTCCAATGATCTCAGCCATTCGCAGTCTACTTTCAGGATGAGGCAGCATGGCTGTGAAGCAGTCGAGAGCCTGAGGGAGACAAAGACCAGAAAATGACTCAATTCACAGGAGTAGTGCTTTATAAAAAATGTGGTTAATCACAGCCAATTCATTATTAAACAAGGTGGTGCAATCCTTTTTCACACAGGGCCACACGGGTTTCTTTCTTTTCTTTTTTTCCCCTTAATGATAAAACACCCTCATTTAGAAATTTACTTGCCTTATCTTTTTCTAATATCAAAATTTGTTTCGTGATCTAAAACATCTCAGTGTGACAAACATAAAAAAAGAAAAAAAAGAAAGAGGAAATTAGGAAGTGGGCAAATACGTTTTCACACCACTGTACTTGCATGTAGTTAGCGATCTAGTTAACTGTGTTCCTATGATTTTAGCCAAGTAGTTAGTTGTTTCTCTAACTACATAGCTATGGAACAGGGACAATTTTGTCCTGCCAAAGTAGGAAGATCACCAGTAATCTTGTTCATCTCATCTGTCCCTTTCATGCCGAAACTATCCAAAATGTCTATTGCGAACAACGATTCAGTTACTACACAGTAATGATGCAATGATATATTCTCATTTTCATAGTCACTGCATATAAAAAAAAAAAAAAAAAAAAAAAAAAAAAAAAGTGTTTCAAGGCTGGCTCTGGAATACGTGGATCATCAGTCTTGGAGGTTACAACCGTGTATTGGTTTCTATGGTAATATCGTCTGGCATGTGTATGAATGAAACATCCATATGTGATTTCATAAATTGAATTCACTGACCTCTAGGAAGACATGTTGTGCTGTAGCTGATGAGGTGCAGTCAAAGTTGACGCTGATTCGCTCACACCATTTCAGCAGGTCCCTGTAGAGTGATAATGGAGAAGTATCCAGAACATACTTTTTAGACTTCTTATCTTTCTAGCCTGATATTGGTTGTCACTACAGACACGGGATCACAAATTTTCACCCATCTACCAAACTAAAAGAACGTGGAAAGAACACAAATTTCAATCAGCACTTTAGTGAGTCTGCTTTTACTTAAATGCACTGATGTGACCTGATGAATCTGTGATTCCAGTTTCCTGCTATAGGGACATTTTAATCAGTAAACTATGGATCGCAGCAAAGAGTTTATTGAAAACCAGTTCATCACATGAATACTGAACTGCAGACTGGATGGAGGGGATAATGTGATAGATTTAAGACCAGAAATTCCAAATTCTTTGGGAAGTCCACTGCAGAACCTTAATGTTAGCCTGCTTTGTCTGTTCCAGAATCAGTTTTGATGCGCTGCAATCATTGAAACATCTAGTTTTTTGTTTCAGCTGTCGGGTTGGGGCGAGTTGGCTTGTGTACCTTTAAGTATGTTAAACAACCGGTGTACTTTAATTAATAATAGATGGTATTAAAACTGGCAGCCTTAGTCACCAGTGGATCAAATTCAGTGGAATTTGATGTTTTCAGTGCCACAATTTGCTGTGTTGATTAGAATTTAAATGTTAGACAAAGGAAAAAGGAGAAGAGAGAGCAGCGAGCTGGGGCTCACCTCAGTGAAAGCGCCCTCAGCTGTGTGCTTTTGTCATCAGAGTTGTGCTGCTGGCTGTTGTCAGGCATTGGAAGGCTGTCTGTGTCCAGCTCAGAGTGTCTCTCCCCAGTCAGCTGGCAGAAGATTTCCAGGAGATGGTCTGACACCACAGACAGCCTTGGATATCTACTAATGAGCACCTACATACATGAGGGATAGGATCAGCTTGAAACAAATACAACAGAACTTATAGCAGGAATGCACGATGGAGAAAAAAAAAAGAGATTTAGGATTTTTATACTGCAAAAAAACGGATTAAAACCCTGTAGCAAAAACATCATTTTTGACTTGCTGACCAGAAATCTTAAGTTTGTCCCCAAGTGCAGCAGAAAAGATCATCTCAAAGTTTCTAAGTATCCAAATCAATGAAAATATACAGGCTTTGACTCCTATGACTTCCATGTGTCCGAATATCATGCAACTCCATAAGTAAAAGGAAAAAAACGATGCTTGCTGCTGCCTGATTTAACTTGCTTGAATTCCTCCTTGGTAAGGTGCTAAATGTGTTTTTTAATGAAGCATTTTTAAAGACATCCCTTTATCCAATCAAAAAAAAGTTGTGTGCATCTTCTAGACACAGCAAGTCCTTTCAAGAACAAGTACGGTTTCATGAGCGTGAGGGAGATACCAAGGGATGGACCATTATACAAGGAGAGGAGCAGTTCCCTTACTGGTTAAATAAAACACTAATTGTAACACTAAAGCTAATGTCTTGTTTTAGAATACAGGCACATACTTTTGCAAAAAAAGGGAATCTACTGTTGAAACCACAGTGAAGTTAAACATGAAAACCCTCCCAATCACCTTCTTCAGCTCTTCTCGTGTCATGTTGCCCATTTGCAGCTTCGTCCAGTACTTGTCCAACAGCACTGCATGGGAGTTCTGGGGTCTGTGCCAGCTTCCACCACTACAATACATCCTACAGTCCACAAGACATAAGTTACTTGCTACTAAAATCTGACAGGCCAGTGTTCATTGAAACATGCATTACTCCTTAGTACATCTCAATTGTACATATAGTTTGAAATGATTAACCGTACATAGGATTACACATCCCAGCGTCACAAAACACATGTGACAGGTTCAGTAGTCATATCAGAATTTCATATCCTTTAACAAAGCGCTGTAGTCTGACCTTCTGGTTGCAAAAAATTGGAATCCAGGCGCAACATCAATGCAGTCCTCTCGTCCCGGAATCATCAGCTTTTTATTCTCCATCAAAGGGAGGAGTGCAGATATCTGAGAGAGAGAGAAAAAGAACTTTTTAGGGCTAGTTTTTTTTCCTTGCCAGTGACAACTCAGTGGTGTAAGGGTTAGCAGTGTCATCTTGACAGCAACATCTTGATGGCTCAAACCCCCGACTGGACAATTTCTATGTAGAGTTTGCATGTTTTCCTGCGTGGCTTTTCTCTGAGTACTCTAGCTTCCTCCCATAATCCAAAGACATGCTTGTTAGGTTAATAGGTGATCCTCAACTGCCCATGGATGCTGGGCCAGAATACAACACAAGACCAATGTAAAATGGGACTTGTAATCTTGAGAACTTTGTTTGGATGCTTTATAAATACTAGTCCATGGTTTTCAATTTATTCATATTTAAAAAGGTAGGGTATTTACTAACCACATCCAGAGGAGCATGGTCAATGTCCTCCAAGAGGATCCACTGGCCTGAAGACACGGCTTGTGTTAGTGTTCCAGGCTGCCATATAAACTTCCCTGGTATATCAGTGCAACGGTACATTCCCAGGAGCACCTGTGATATAAAACAAGGACATTTTGAAATGTTCAGCCTTCAGACTAAATGAGTTATTAGAAAACTCACTAGAAGAAACACCTTCAATTCAATTTTATTTATACAGAGCCAAATCACAACAACAAGGTGCTTCAACAAAATATCATCAAAAAAACAAAACAAAACAAACATCAACAAAATATTGTGAATATTACATCAACAGTGGCCAGGACGTTCTGATTTGAGTACATATGGGTGCAAACCTGCAAATCCTACAATTCTGACAGTTTGTAAAATGTTTGTTTTATATATTAAATGTCAAATATAATGCTTCATCACTTCCTATAGAACCATAAGAAACAACATGTTTTTTCCTTTTATGTCTCTCACCTTGCTGTCAGTTTGATCCCCAAGCTGTACCTTGAGGATCTCCGTAGTTTTGGCATGTCCGGTGACAGCAGCCATAAACTCTACCAAAGCAGTTTTACCGCATCCAATAGGACCCTCGAGCAGTACAGGTTTCTGGGAGGCCACGGCCAATGCCAGTCGTCTCAGATTGCGGCAGGTTGAGTCAACCAACACCAGATCCTTTTGATTAATCTACAAGTAGAAACCAATATTAGGAAAAAAAAAAAAAAAAAAAGCAGAGACAGATATATCGCAAAGATTACATACCTGTTCAGGCTGCCTAGGAACTATCCTGGGTAGCACAACACCACAGACTGCCACTACATTCTGCGACAAGTCCTCTGACACCACCTGGCCTCTTGTAAACTTGTTGGCCTTCTCTTGGCACCACGTCACATAGCCCTGATTGGCTAAAACCAGGGCCTTCTCAAACTCCAGCTGCTGAGTTTCTTCCAAACCCCTAAAGAAGCATCAATGGTAAAGGCATGTAGCGCCGCAATCAGATTTACAATTCATGACTGTTGTTGATAAAATAAGTTCAGACATGTGCATAAATATGTGGAAAAAATAAACAAATAACAGCAATAACACTATAAGGCTGTGTCCTATATTTTTGTTTATTGTGAAATGTATTTAGTATATTTGTTTGTATGTATGTAACAGTAGCATCCCATTACAATAACACATTTAGATTGCGAATGCGAATGGCTGGGTCAAGTTTCAACACCAAACACACGGTACATACTTCATTTTCATGTGTAGGATCTCATCACTCGTCAGCACCTTCCTCAGGAAGATGGTTTTCTGGTTATCAGTCATATGAGAGACCAATGCTAAACAGTGGGCGGTGTACCTGTTAGAGTGACAAGTGACATTAACTGTAATTTGCAGGTCAAGAACAAAAAAAAAAAAGGTGAATGTTAAATATAATAGCATTAGCTATAAATTACTGGTTAATATTTTGAGCAGTTAAACCAGAAAGCAATTCGAATATCAACACTAATGTGCTGATAGCATACTTTTGGCTTTGTCTAACAGCATTTTGTGATTAAATCTTCAAGTAAATATAATCCTAAGTTAGTTGCTATGACAAAATATGCAATTAAATTATAGTTACTAACCAATTTGTGATGATTACAAAGGGCTTCTATCCAAATATAATATTTTTGGTAAACGCTAACATGTAGAAGGTAACATTCTTTCTCTCGTTTTGCATCTTTTGTCCGTCCAGTAATGCTTTCATTTGGAATATTGGCTCAGGATTTTGGATTGAGAGTGAAATGACTTATATCTTATATCAAGACAGGCTCCATGCTTTAGCATTATGCACTCAAATCAATTTAACACATCTGAAGTCAACTTTTTGAACTTAACACTAGCTGTGACTAAATATGTGCAAGTATTGCAACTAGTTGATTTTGTTTATTATGATTTATTAATGACTTTGCGTTGTAGCAAACGCTTTTGAAACAACTAAGCCAGATGGAGTAGCCAGCTAAAGAGTGCTCTTCTCCACCAACCTGAGCGTGCAGCCGAGTCAGTCCTGACAGGAGAAGGCTCCACCTTTATTTCCTTAAAAAAAAGCTTCCCGTTTTTGTTTTTTTCCAGGACGCTTTTCCCCATATTGAAAATCCAATATCTATATCTAATGATGTCTAGGTCTAAACATGACGCAGGCACATACCATCGCACCATGACATCACTGGTGAGCAGAAGGGACATGCAGGGGCTCCAGTCCCAGAGCATTCGGAACTTGGCACAATCACTCTGGAGGAAACGCAAAGTGGCACCCATTAGGTCACGCAGCTTCATCCTTCTGGGGCCATACTGCACAGCTGATGACTCTTCACTGGTGAAGAAGAGCCTCTGAAACACCGGAGGGGCATTGTCGAAGTACCTTGCACCAAACCTTGAGGAGAGGTGCTGAGAGTTAGTCAGGATACACTGTTTACTTTACTGTGTAAGAGTGTCACTACACAAATGAAGATCAAGAGTCTTTAGGTCTGCACTGGGTTGATGAGCACAGGATTTAATAAGACAAACGTCAGCACCAGTAGTTTTCTCAGAACACTTACGTTTGTGCGTCAGGACTGATGCTGAGAAGCTTGCTGAGGGCCACACACAGGCGCTCGTGGAGGTCATGGTTGATGCTGCCTCCAGCTTTCACCCTCTCAGCATTGCGCTCCAACAGGTCCAGTGTCAGAGGACGCAAGTGCCGTGCAATCAGTAGAGTATAATCCTTTTCTAGCAGCAGCTGAGCCAAACAATCCAGAATACACTGCCTGTCCTGCTGACTCCATATCTGAGGAGACATCACGTGGACCACACGTTTTACTATCAACCCAAAATAATTAAATCCTGTGGGTTACCGAGCCTGAACGGAATCTACAGGGTCGTGATCGCTAACACGTAAAGCAAAGGTTAACGATGCCGAGTCTCAATGTGAACATAAACACATTAATTCCATCATAATATGCTCAGGAAATAACAAATCTTACCTGCTTTGCTAGGTACTGGCTCAGCTGGCTGTGACATTTGTCAACATGTCTCGCTATGGTGCCTAGTGATGACAGACTCAGTACTAAATTCTCCATCTTCTCAAATGTCTTTTCGTGGAGGGCTACAGCAAACAGCAGCCTCTGGGATGTGTTGGCGATAATGTTTCCCTGCTACTGAAGAAAACTGAGAGGTTCATCACTCGCGTGTATATCTCAATACACAAACACGTTCTCTGGCGTTAAAATGCCATCCACATGTGAGTGAAGCCAGACTCCTTCCGGGTCAACTTCGTTACCTCTCCCTCCCACACTGCTTCCGTTTTCTGTCCTTACGTCGCGTGGTGATGACACGACCCTGGCCTGGCTGTCCATTTTTCCGGGAGTGAAGCAACAATTTGGGCTTGAGTGGAGCGTTAATTCTGTCTTTAACGCATTTCATTTTCTTTCTGACTCGGCGGCAGGAGAATGTTAGTTGCTCGCGAAGGTAGTGAGCGACAGTGTCGCAAATCTACCTAAGTGTTGAAGAATATTTTTGCAAGCGGAGAGGAGGAGTGCGCAGGCTGCAGTCACAGACCGCGGGAAAATGGTACTTCCTGTGCAAAGAAGTCTTGGCGCGGCATTACAGCTGTAAACAACAGGAGGACACAACAATACGCAAGTAAGTTAGTAAGACGACTAAATCACAGCCACGTTACTCTAATGTTCTGCAGGCTAATTTAAGTCACTTCTTTTGCTGACCAACTTTCTTGTTTCCTCCGGGTTAGTTAAGCAGACAGTTCTAAGTCGCTTTATTTGTTTGAAGTAATGTCCAGAAATGTAAAAAACAAAATAAATAAGCAGTCCATCAGTTGGCTTTAAGAGGTAAAATGTGTCGTGAAATGTCTGACAAGATTTTAAAAAAAAAAACGTTGTGAAAGGGGATGTTTGTTTGCCATCCTTGTCTGTTGTGTTTCTGTTAGTTTAATTCGGGTCAAAGGTAACAAGGCTAGGAACAAAAGAGTCAAAAAGACAGTGTTATATTTATTCAACGAAATTAACTCGGGCCCACAGTTCGATCGTTTGTTTTAACCTGGAAGGTTATGAGATTATCATTCTGCTTTGCTTTGTTCTTTGGTGTCTTTGAGCAGTAGGACAGGCTCTAGCTAGCGCAACATGTTACCGCCATTAGTCCACATTTGTCCAATACATCAACCGTCTGTCAACCTACATTATCTTTGGAATTGTGTATACCATTAGGTGTATGTCACAGTCGATCTCTGGCAAAATTCAACTGTGTATCTAGTTATTTATCTAGTTGTCTATCGATCTTTAATTGGCGACCTGTTTTTTGCCCAGCACTTCACCCATTTCTGATGTGGATCTGCATATATGTTATTATTCATAAAAGTAGCTTTATAAGAAATATTTGAGCAATGAAAAGGTGTTGTTAAAAATAATCATCTTACCAAAATAAACAGTATTGCTCTCCTGCAAATGTTGATTGAGTAAAAGGGCCTATTACTATTACTGGATATTTTTGCCCAAAGTAACAGTAATTTATGGAAACTTGTGGAGCAGACTTTTAAGATTTTCTTAAATCAACTTTTGCATCAATCTTTTTGTTTGATTGATTTGTTTGGCTTGGACAATAACAACCATCAATTTCCCTTTGGCTTTGACATCAGGTAGTCCTTAAGAAACTGTGCCACAGGGATCTTTGACAGGATGGAGAACGTTGACACCAGCCATGCATCTGGTCGTAAGTATACATTGCTACTTAAGAACTTGGAATTACTCACCAAAATTGAATGAAAACGAATTAAATCCCTCATTTGTAGATACTCTATTAAAATTGATTAAGACTGATTTTTGTTGACATAAATAAATAACAGACCTTAAAAGCTGAATGTCCTATCTTCCATAACCTTTAATTATTGTTTGGGCCTCCATACACTGTCAGTGCTCGGCATTAAAAACATTAGTTGAAAGTTCAGGTTGTAAACATGCATGCTTTTAGTTATTAATTTCATGCTTTTATTCTTCTTGGACTGGTGTTTGGTTGGCTGCAGTCAATAGACTTACATTAGTTTATGTTAGCTAACTAATACCAGACCCAATAACTCAGAAGAAAACAACACTAAGACTAAAACTCAGTTTAAGGCGGTCACTTTTGTGCTGCTTCTGGCTACAACAGTGTGTTTATGTCAAAACAAAGGATATACTGTTATGTTTCCCTGTCTATCTCTTAAGCATTCAGTGGTTCTTTGTTGTATTTTTTTAGCTGCACTGAAACGGGAAAGTCCACCTGTTAGCTGTAATTTTAGGGTTTGTTAAGCACTTTATACATGAGGAACCATGTGGAGGAGAGCCTACTTGAGTCACCAGACCAACAAGGAGTCTGACATGTCAGTTTTTTTCTCAACAGGTTGGCTGTACAGAGCCACCCAACCATGTGAGTCTATTGACCACAACCAACCAACTAACCCGGTGATATCAAATTCTGTACTGGCACAAGCTGGCACTAAACATCTTCTAAAAACGTAGAACTCTTAGCACTTATTTCTTAAATCCAGCTTCACAGACAGAGCTACATCTATGCCAGTTTTTAAGAGGAGGCCTCCGTGATGTAAATTAGCCTTTATACATGAAGTGTTACATGTTCACTTTACTATGACTTTCATTGCATGCTTGCAATACTGCAGCTTGCCTTTTAAGTGGAAGCACCAAATGTGGCAACAATACTCAGACTTTAGAGTGTTTCAAAGTTTGTAGAAGTCTTAAATGGACAAGTTCATCATTACTTGCCAGACTGCTACAATTTTACATACCAGCCAGTCACACAAAAACCAGATGCTCTTGGTTGTTTTAAAATGTAAAGTAAAACAAAATGATTATTTGAGTTAAGTTCTTGTACTTCATTTGTCTCATTAGTTGGACACGTAATTCTACTACTTTCTCACGGCTCTTAATCTGTTTCAGTTTGAAAGTTTATAATTTAAATAAAACCAGTTTGCTTATTATCCACTGTTTTATTTATGTATGTACATAAAAACATTCCTTAGAAAACATAATTTACATGAATGTAAGATTTTTGGATGCTACCATAATCATGACTTAAGACTTTTGTGTAGAAGCTCTTTAACTACTGATGTATACTGATATATATGTATAACATCTACAGTCTTGGTATCTGAAGTAAGCGAGGAGTCTGTGGATATATACGATGGTCTGGACATCGGTTTTAACAGAAGTGCAGGTAAAAGCCCTTTCTGAAATGGTTTCACTTTGATCGGATGCATCTACTCTTGCTGTCGTAGTCTGAGCACTTTTTTTCTTTTTTACAGAGGAGCCACCTTTTGTTGGTTCTCAGTTGAAAGAGTCAATGGATTTGTATGAAGAAATTGTGACAGAGGAACAGCAGAACAGAGAGTCATCATACGCTGAGGTAAGCAATTGCTCATTTGGGAATTATTTATTTTTTTAACATGGGGATTTTTTGTACTGATAATTAGCTGTGAGGCACTGATAAGCTGTTGTTTTTTTTGGGGGGGGGAGTGAGCTTGACTCTGCTGCTGTGTTTCAGTCTTTATTAGAGATGGCATGATACCACTTTTTAATGTCCAATACGGATATAAATTTGGATATTTGCCAATACCAATGTGAATCTGATAGTTTTTTATAATCAATAAAACTGTTTTTTAAATGTCTTGCTGCATTTTGTATAAGTTTATGCTCAAGTTTTAAAAAAACAAAACACTAAAGCTATTCTATTATATTTGTATGCAAAAAAATACACTTCACCCAAAATATTTTGCAGTTCAGCAATACTGATCTTTTTATTTAAACTTTTAGCCAAACTTTAAATCTAAATATTTAAGTAATATTCAAAAAGTATTTTAAAATGCAGGTTTATGCAGATTTCAAAAACTCTTTGGTTCTGAAAAAAAGAAGTGCAATATCAGCACAAAATGATGTTTATATTCAACAACTTAAAAAAAATCCTCCAAGTTGTATAATGGACAATTTTATACTTAAAGCTTAACATAAAAAGAGTGGAAAGCAGTGCAAATAAATGCAAACACGGTTTCATGATACTCATCTTTTATCAAGATCAGGGCTGGACTGGGACAAGAGACCAGCCCACCAGGTATTATAGAAAAAGCCATAAAGCCTTTGAATGAAAACAAACGCTGTTGTGAGAGTGATGTACACTGTCTTGTTGGTATATATGTATGATTTCTATACATTGCACATAAGATAACCACTTTGGTTGTAAGATTCAGATAATTATTTATTGAAAGCGAGACATTTTAAACGAGAATAAGAAAGAAATGTATTTCTTTGTGCCCCCTTTCCCTGTTAATGCCCTACCTGGCCCCCTGGCAAAACTTTGCTAGGCCCGCCCCTGCACAGTTACCAGCTGTTAGCTCAATAGAAAAGGATCCTGGTGTTATTTGTCTCTCAGAAACAGTTCATAACTTCCCTTCAACTCATTCATGTCACCTAAAAGGTAAACCTGTTTCTCCATCACCTGTTCAGCTCTGATGATTCAGTAAGGACATCTCCTGGTTTCATCTTTGTGTTTCCCTCTCATGCTAAGGTCATGAGCTGGATTATGCCATGTCGCAAGTTTTTTTGAGGTGCTTTTGTGATATTTAATAGATCGAATTACATTTTTTATTTCTGCCGATATCTGAACCAGTAATTTAGGTCAGGATCGGACCAGTACTGGTGCTGTATATTGGATCGGTCCATCTCTAGTCTTTATATTATCATTATGTTCTACAAGGTGTAGAAGCCTTGTTATTGGTAGGTGAATATGGGTTAGTCTATGAAATTAGAACCACATTGCTAAAAATAAGTCCTTTGTCAGTTACAATAAATATTAAATTAGTACTCTAGATCTGATTATTTCTGTATAAATCAAGCAAATTCCAAAAAGAATCAGTGAAGTGAACTGATGGACTGCTTAATGATTGAGTTGATTACAAGTAGATAAGCTGTGACGCTTCATATTTCAGCAAAGGTGACCCTTGCTCAGTATTTGGGATCATGATTGCCACTTTTGTGTAAGCAGAGAATAACACTTGGATATCACAGGACGTTGAAAGTATGCCAGAAATCATCATGCCAGCTGTTTCATAGGCCTTTTGTTTTTGTGTCTCTGCAGCTGAAGTCTGGGTTCAGGACAGCCCAAAACCATATTAAAGAGTTACGCAGGAGACTGGAGCAGTTGGAATTACAGGTGTGGGTTTTTTTTGTTTTTTTTTTTGTTTTGTTTTGTTTTTTGGGGGGGGGGGTTACCATAAACACTACTATCTTCACTAAGACCGTTTTGTTTTAAGAAAGACTGTGTTTTCTGTAGGTGGAATGGGTCTACATTATTGAACTGCATTGTTTGGTTATACGAATTTATTTTACCACTAACATTTTGTGTGCCTTCTGTTTGAATATAGAATACAGGTTTGAGAAAGGAGAACTACTCTCTCAAAAAAAACATCTCTACACTTTTACAAACGGCTAGAAAGGAGGTGATACGAAAAGACACAGAGATTCAGAGGCTGAGTCAGAGGTACGTTGGTTCTTTTTCGTCCTTCTCCGTTAGGTTACACTGAATACTGGTTAATGTTATGCATAAGGGCAATATCATAAGACACGTAGCAAGGTGTGACATCAATTATTGGCTATACTGAAACAGCAATGTTTTAATTGTTGGGTTTTGCAGGTCTGAGAGAGGGCAGTATCATCATTATCCATCTTCCATACAAAATGTGCGGGATCCAAATCTCTCCAGTCACAGCTCCACCAGTAGGCTGGTTTCTCCACCATCCCGTCCGCCTCCTTCTCCACCACTACCGCCATCCAGTAATTTTCCACCTCCCAGCGTAGACCAGCCTCCAAGAGATGCACGTCAGTCCATGAGGAAAGAAAGTCATAGTTTGCCCAGAGCATCAAAAGCATCTTGTCATAGCCATTCAAAACGAGACAGTGAAATAACTGACAAACAGACGGAGTCAGATAAACACAAATCCAGTCACAGAGAGCACAGACATCCCAGTCAACAGTCTGAATCAATACATAGGAGACATAGAAGTGCTTCAGATGCTAACAATGACAGATTTCACAGAGCAGACAAAGACTTGGTACAAAGGTGTGATTCAAAGTCATATCAAAGAAAAAGCTACTCACACGATGGGCACCGCAGATCAGATGAGGTTAAATCCTCACCCACGATTTTGGAAACTACAGCTTCGGATGACAAAAAAGATGGCAGGAGACACGATAAAGCTAAAACGGCTGCATCGGGCCCTAAACACAGTGCGTCTCACAGCTCAAAAGAGAGCTACAGCCGAGAGCTTGAAAAAATCAAGACTACTTGCAGCTCTTCCAGAAGTTACAACTCAAAGGACTGGAAAAAGTCTTCTGTAAATCAACATGTTATACGATACAGAGATTCCTCCAAAGAGAGGGAAGGGGCTAGACAGAGAGATCATCAGTGGAAAGGGGAAAGGCAATATAAAGATGAAGTAAGAAAAAATCATATCAATGACAGTCAGTCCCACACAAGCAGAAAATGTGAGAAGCTGAGAACCAAAGAATCAAGTAAAAGTGACAAGGACAGATGCGCAAAGACTCACATGGTGTTTAAAACATCACCTGAAGAAACCAATATAAGCAAGAAAAACTCTGAGGAAACTAGTCCAAACAGGAAACTGTGCTTTATGGAAACATTGAATTTAACCCTTTCACCAATTAAGAAGCCAGTATTACCTTTTGGTGGGAGCCTGAAAGATCCTGTACCAGTGGGCAAGGATGTTGAAAATGGATCAGAGGAAGAGAATTTGCAGCCTAACATGGAAGACATGTGTGTCATTGATGACATAGAAAACATTGAATTAGAAGGAGAGTTGAGAGATATTACAGAGCAGTCTCTGAAGAACCACAACGTTTTGAGTTGTGAGAAGACACTTGAGGCATCAGATGTGGAAGGTATTAAGGAAAAAGACACAGTCTGTAATAAAACTGCCGTAGCTGACAATTCAGTTCAAACTACCTCAACTAACAGCCAACCCTTGGATATTACAGCAAAGCAAGTGAATGCACACCTTGCGGCAAAATCACCAGAGAATAGTTATGCAAAAGCACCAGACGTGTCAAAAAATAATGAAGAAAATATGAAGCTAGTCTCAGACAGCAAGGCAGCTGAATGTGGAATGGCGGGGGCCAGAGACCCCATAAATCTTGTTGACAAGTCAGGAAGGATTTCTAAACAGATTCCAAGCTATGACCGACAAAAAGCTTACTGCGAAAATACTGCTGATTCATGTGCTGAGATTACTGTGGAGTCCACTGTGGAGCATCTTGAAGCTGCAGTACAGCAGAATGCCTCTTTGGAATCACGTGCAGAAGATGCCGATTCATCACAGCCAAAGAAAACAGATATGACTGACAAAACTAATCCTGTGTGTCAGACTGCTCCGGCTATCAAGTCTCCGGTCTGTCAGCAAGGTTCTCCTGCTTCTTCTACTCCAATTCATCTGAAAGGGAATTGTGAAAAGCAAGACTGGCGTAAAGATGCAGATACAGTGTCCAGCACAATCAGCCTGGAGTCCCTTCCACAAGAAGGATTGAGTTTGAAAGAGGCTATTTACGTTTTAACACAGACAAATGAAGACACCGGAGACAGTAGCGCTAGCGCTATTGAGCCGAGCTCTTCGACTAACTGTATCGGAGTGTCCAAAGTTAGCAGCACAACAGAGGAGAAGACCCTACTAAAAATTTACAGTGACATGACCACCACACCCAGCAAGAGCTTCAGCCCTAGAAATGGACAGGAAAACCATTTGAAGCCTTCAAGCTCCGTGCTATTACTACATGATGAGGACTCTATGATGCGCACACTGAATAATCTGAAGAGAATCCCAGATGCCATCAGTCCTTTGAGGAGTCCAGTACGGGTAATCAAGAGATGTCTTCTCCATGTGCATAGCAAGCCTGGTCATGTAAAGAGCCTTCAAAAAGGTAGTTATCCTCCTTTCAAGTCTAGTAATCTATATTTCAAAACTGGCAAGTTTTCCATTGAATGCTTTCCATCTTGCCAAGGATACTGCTTACAAGCTTTACTATAAGCCTTCTCTTTACTAACTGCTAATTTAATCTCATTTCTCATCTCACTGTGTCTTTTCTGTGCCTGTCCTCTGTCACAGCTGCATCAGCACCATGTATTTTAAGAAATTGAACAGCTCATTTCACCTTTATAAAATACATCTCTGGACTTTACCTTAATTAGCATTACCTGTTACGTTACAGTAGGTCTTTTGGCATCCACAGTGGATCTTTGTTACTGTTCTGGGTTGGGTTTAAAATTAGCTCTAAAAAAAATACAAAAATGTACCATCTTATACATTTGTTTGACTCTTCTATCTGACTGTTATCTATTTCTTTCCTGTGCAGATTTTTCCAGTACAGCTGTTGATGCCAACTCGGAGAAGTTGGATGTAAATAAGGAGAACAAATATCCAGGTTCTCCTGCAAAGCGAGACGCAGTAAACTCGGTGGATAAAGTGTCTGACTTGAATTCAAGTCGTTCAGACACAGATCTGGAGGAAGGAGAAATTTTAAGTGAAAGTGATGAGACGGCGGCAAGTTCACCCACTACTGCAACAAAGAAGGCAAAACTAGCACAGCCAGTCAGAAATAAGTCAAGTCCTAACTCTGTTTTAAAGAAGAAGCTTGCAGAGAGACGGGCTGCTTCTGAAGAAAGTCGTGAAATTTCAGGCGTAACGACACAAAGTCCAAAAAGTCGTTTTAAAACAGTTTGTCCCGCAGCAAGTAAAGCTTCTTTTTGTACCATCGAAGAAATAATGGAGACATTTAAGTTAGTTCGCGCCGAGATCCGAAAAAAGTACATGAAGCTTCACAAAACTTTTCCCAGGAAGAGTTTCTATGGAATGATGGATAATTTCCAAAGGTCTTTTTTAGAGTTTGTGGATGGTGCTCATTTTGGTAAGATATGTGATCAACCAGGGGAGCTCAAGTCCAGACTGAAGAAACTCATTGAATCTGTGTTTGGCAAAGTGTCAAATAATGGCATTGTGAAACGAATATTTGAACAACAAGCAGTGGATCTGAAGCAAAAGCTGTGGGACTTTGTAAATGTCCAAGTTGACTACTTGTTTGTGGACATTCACACAACGCTGAAGAGCTTTTGCAAAGCCTCAAGACCTCTGCCAGAGGACAGTGATGGTGAAAATGTATCTCAACAGCCTCCTGTGAGAAAGACATCATATGAGTCGAACCAAGCACAGCCGGCTTCCACCAGCCTGAATCAGGCCAAATCCTGTGCTGTGGTGCCTTACAAAAAGGGCCTTGGAAGCAGAGGCAAGGACATCAGAATCACACACGGGTCTGAGTCGCATCCACTGAACTCCCCAAATACACAAGCAGAGTTCCTTCTTCCTAAAAATCCACCTGCAACTCCTGAAAAAAATAATATACCTTCTTTGGTGGTCACTCAGAATGGCTCTTTGCTTGACAGAACTGACTTTGAGCTACTCACTGAGCAACAAGCTTCCAGTTTAACATTCAATCTGGTCAGAGACTCTCAAATGGGTGAAATTTTCAAGTGTCTTCTGCAAGGTTCTGACTTGTTAGAAAGCAGTGGTATCGCTGTAGAAAACACTGCCTGGTCCCTCAGTACTCCAAGGAAAGATGGAGAAAGAAACATAAGCATCATCACACCATCAAAATTTGATTATCCATCTAAGCTGCTTTCCCCAGCTAAATTTGATACCCCTTCTAAACTTTTTGCTACCTGGTCTAGTATTTCACCTCGCAAAATATCCTCCCCTTGCTCAAAAGATCAGACCACACTGAACCCGGCTTTACTTGATGAAAATTGTCTGTTAGAAGTTCCATCGCAAAATCGAGCACTGTTGCAGGCCAACTTGGCCTCACAGAAGTCATATTCACTTCTAGCTGAAGATTTGGCCGTGTCCCTCACCATTCCATCACCTCTGAAATCTGACAGCCACCTCAGCTTCCTACAGCCATCCACCTCAAGTATGCATGTCACGTCCACGCCAGAGAACGTCATCAGCGCCCACATATGCGAGGATGCTCTACTGGACGGGGAGGACGCCACAGAGCACGACATACACCTGGCTCTTGACACTGATAATTCCAGCTGTGGCTCTAGCAGCAGTTTGGCCTCAGAAACGCCTGCCACGTCTTTTGTGTTTAAGCCCGACATGGCAATGCAGGCGCTAGTGATGGAAAAGTCCAACGATCATTTCATTGTGAAGATTCGGCAGGCGAATCCAGAAGCAGATAGAACTCTAACTGCTAATGAGAGCTTAAGTGAAACACTAACAGAGGAGCAGCACATAGAAGATAACACTGCAGCTCAGGATAGTGAAGCTGGTGTTGCAGAAAAGTTGGAGAAAGCTGTCTCTTTGGCGGGCAGTTTCTCTAACGTTGCTGAAAGCTCTGTTTTGTGTCCAGCTGGTACTGAATCCAGTGTCTGTCTCACTGAAGGTAAAGACTTAACACTATTAAACAATCAGCCAGATGATATGCTAACTCAACACACTTTTTCCAAAGAGACCCTGAAAAATCGGTCTGACGGTTCTCTTTCAGATAAGAGTTTGAACAACGTTTCTGAAAACACAGTTGTTAATGGGAGTGGTAGTAAGACACATTCCAGGGAAGAAAACATTAGCCCTTCAAAAACTGTCTCAAACAAGTCTCAGAATAAACTCATTCCCTCTAAATGTGCTGTGTCAAATAACTGTCAAACTACTGAAAGCTCTTATACAAATCAGAGGAGCCGAAAATTGTCTTCACACGTGTCAGACTCGAAGAACAATGATGTGGACATATCTGAGTCAGAGAGAAGCCTCGTGATAGCAGAGGACACGAGCAGTTCACCCGACAAAGGCAGAAAACGAAAGAAGCACCAGGACAAATCAAAAGCGAAGAGGTTGAGGAAGGAAAAAAAGAGTCCAGAAGTCGTGCTTCCTTCCAAGGAAGCAGATGAAGATTCCAAATCATCTATGGGCTGTCTGTCTCCCAGCAGTCTGTCTGCCAAGAATGTCATCAGGAAGAAGGGCGAGGTGGTGATGGCCTGGACTAGGTCAGTAGTGAAGTGCATCATGTTCTCTCTTTCCAAGGAGTGTCTGAATAGAAGAATGAATACTAGTTACATATACTCAGTATTGGTTTCACAATATTTCAGCAGAAAATGTCAAATAGAAGTTGACTTGTAATGGACCTGTTGGCCTCCTCGCAGATTAACGCAACATTGCAACTCATAGACACTGCATATCTGTAATCCTTGGCCATACTGGTCTAACGTCATCTTTCTAACAAAGCTGATATAGATTAATATGGCTCGCTGGTTGTTAAGCTGTGGAAGCCAAACTAAATGTTAGACAAAATAAAGCCACACTGAAATGGTGTCAGCTGGTTTGAAGTCAACTCCATCTAAACATTAAATAAGTTGGCTCTAACACTTGCAGCCTATTGATGAAACATTTTTTCTCTCCTTGAATGAGCACGTCAACGAACCAGCTGAGGTTACAGCTCTAGTATAAACATAGGAAGTCCTTTGAGTGCTAAGATTCAAAGGACTCTGTATGAGTGCTGGTCCATTCACTACAAGAGCTTTGTTAAATATGTCTGTATTTTGGGGGGAGTTGAAACTAATTTTGCACACTGTCCCCCATGTTTAGAAGTTCAAAATTAATTGATGAAACTAACAATATAATAATCAAAGTAATTTTAATACACAGATAAGGCTCCTTGGGATCAATAACTATCTGAGGGCTAGAACCTGTGGACATGAATAAATATTACATTTTTGGGTTGTTTAACTCATTGTAGTGGCAAATTTGCAGTTATCTGAATGTATAGTGTCTGTGTACCTTGTATAAGTGTTTCGATTTACTAGTTGCCTAAATTCAGCCTTGTTATCAAAGAAGAGATTTTGATCTGGTAGTTTATGCTCATCTAATCAGAACAGTCTCACTGAATGTATTTTTAATGTTTCATTCTACATTATAGGGCTGCCACTAATGATTATTTGTATTGTTACTGTGTAAGAAGTTAAGCTAATTAAATAGACTACTCAGTATCTTTCATCTCCTTCATCAGAGATGAAGATCGAGCTATTCTCATGGACATGAAGACCAAAGGCGCTTCACGCGAGACTTTCTCTGCTTTGTCAGAGAAACTTAACAAGCCTTCAGGCCAGGTAGATAAATCTTGTTTCTTTCTTTTTCTTTACTTTTTTTAGTGTAAGCATCCAGTAACTGTTAACTGTTTGTTCTCCCCAGATTGCTCACAGATTTTATCAGCTCATGAAGCTTTTTAAGAAGATGGACACCTGATGCCTCTGAATATTTGTGTATATGGTTCTTATTTTGGAGCATATTCATACATGTGCCAATAATTAAGGTGATATGGTGATTTGATCACCACACAGAGTGCTGTATCTGTCAAAATCTGGAGCTTGGTTTGAGTCAAAGGCTGGGAATTCATAACTGTCTCTAAGGATATTGTGTTACAGATGCAGAATTGTACCTGCTCATGCTGTTGAGAAAGGAATTCAAAAGACGTTTGGGTTTTTAGCAAGCCACACAGGATCATCACAGAAGGACGTGATGTGGGCCACAGGATTCCACCTTTTTTACCTTCCTATCTCAACTTTTGCAGACATTGCAGATCTCAAAAAAGTTAACGAGTCATGATATTAGTTCCCACGTCCGTAAATTAGTTTTTCTCCAAGCATTTGGGGGAAACTACCCTCGTAATGGGAAGATTTCAGGTTCCAAAACAAGTATGCTCACTATATTTTACATATTGAGTCAGATTCTTAGTTTAGAGGTTAACACATGACCTGCCATTAAACCTTGATCTACAGGGCTCATAGTTTTAGTCTTTTGACTTGGAGTCAGTGTTAAATTTTGTGTTAAATGTTGGATCTTGTTTTAATAGATGTGTTTGTGTGTGGGAAGGGAGTGCGTCATACATTTGTTTACATGTTCACTTCAAGTAAAGGCCATCAGTACATTCATTTCTTAATTTGTGAGCGTGTGTGTGTGAGAGAATGAATGAATGAACCCTCGTATCTGTGAGCTGCAGTGACAAGTTTGCTTGTTACTAACAAAAACTATGTAATGACATATTGTAAATAATTCTTTACTGAAAATAAAAGTTTTATTTATTTAATGGACTGGTGCCACACTTTTCTACATACAAGCTGGATTCATCCAATCAAATACAGTTGTTCAAGTGCTTTTTTTCCTATTACTATGTGCTTTTTAAATCTGATGGGTGCAATGATCCAACTGTGGGTTCAGCATCTTGGTTACAGACTGAAAATGAAGGAGGGTTCATTTCTCATTTCATTAAAACTCCTGAACCACAACAAGCCACATTAAACTTGCTAATTTTTGAAGATTTATAAAATCAACAATATGGATTTTATGTCATTACGTGCAGGGGTTACGATGCGTCAAAACTATGCAGTAATCATCTCATTTGTTTTCTTGAATGATTAATATGTTTTGCAGTGATGTCACCAAATGTTTGATCCTCTGTTCTGCTTCCAGGGCCCTGTTTCAGAAAGCCGGTTTAGTGCAAACTCTGAGTAAGTATACCCTGAGTTAA